CCCCCAAGTCCTCCTCAGAGATGCTCTTTATCCATTCTCCACCAGCCTGTGTTTGTGCTTGGGATTGCCTCAACCCACGTGCAGGACCTTGCACTTAGTCTTGTTAAATTTCATGAGGTTTGCATTGGCCCACCTCTCAAGCCTGTCAAGGTCCCTCTGGACGGCATCCCTTCCCTCCAGCGTGTCCACCACACCACACAGCTTGGTGTCATCGGCAAACTTGCTGAGGGTGCACTCCATCCCCCTGTCCATGTCTCCAACAAAGATGTTAAACAACACTGGTCCCAGTACCAGCCCCTGCGGAACCCCACTTGTCACCGGTCTCCACTTGGACATTGAGCCATTGACCACAACTCTGAGTGTGGCTGTCTAGCCAATTCCCCTGGCTAAGTGAGGCATCTAAACACATTGTCCATTCATGTACAACACCATTGCTGTGGAGTGCTAACATAGTGGTAAAGTACTGTCACTTAAAAGAAGTTAACCATAGTAGCAAAGGAACAACTGCCCTCAGAACACCTTTTCATTTGGCACATTCTACTGGGTGTAAGAACATTTATCTCCTCCTCTAGCTGTTTGGCTCAGTGTTAATTTGTATGAGATCATGCCCTGGATGTCCTGTTTTCTTCAATGCTTAGCTGACATGACTGAGTTGAAGATCAGGCAGTAAATGTTTTTTAAGTCCTTAACAAGCCTCTGTGAGGGCTGTCTCCAGGTGATTTAACTGTATTTTATCTTTCCACGTGCTCCTGCTAGAACTGAATTTGTATTTCCTTATTTGTTCAGATTTTCCTGGATTTGTAACTTTGGTAATGGGATTGTGGATCCTAACACACTGGCAAAGCCCTGCCACCGCAGTGAGTGAGGTTCTGCCAGGTTTACTCTGAGTGTGAGTGGTGGATGACTGCGAACATGAGAAGCTGTGCAACGATGGGGGCTGTTTGTAAGGTACCTTGACAACTGAAAGGAATTCAGATGATTCAGCATAGATTTAAGGATTTGTTGCCACTTCCTGAATGAGTTGCAGCCTGTCATGGTGTCCATCACCAAACTTTCCCTGCTCTCAGAATCCTGGCCTATGTGTTTCAGATGTCTGCTGCTCTCCTCTGGCCTAGATGCAAAATTTTATGCATATGAGTTTGTGAATCATTCGACAATTAGTCAGTGACAGATTTATAATGGTCACTGACATTGTTAGTATTAATGTGAAGAGTTGTGTGGTTCTGATGTCTCTTTTCCCTCTTTTTGTTTCAGTTCATCGCCTTTGCCTCTTTATTCTTCATCCTAGTTTCAATCACAACCTTTTGCCTGGAAACGCATGAGGCTTTCAATACTATCATAAACAAAACTGAGCAGGTTGTCAACGGGACAGAAACTGTGCTACACTATGAAATTGAGACAGATCCTGCCCTGACTTATGTGGAAGGAGTCTGCGTGGTGTGGTTTACATTTGAATTTTTAGTCCGTGTTATTTTTTCCCCCAACAAAATTGAATTCATCAAAAACCTCTTGAACATCATTGACTTTGTGGCCATCCTGCCCTTTTACCTAGAAGTGGGCCTGAGCGGGCTCTCCTCCAAAGCTGCTAAGGACGTGCTTGGTTTCCTCAGGGTGGTAAGGTTCGTGAGGATCCTGCGAATCTTCAAGCTCACCCGGCACTTTGTGGGACTCAGGGTGCTGGGCCACACTCTACGAGCCAGCACCAATGAATTTTTGCTGCTGATAATATTCCTTGCACTTGGTGTTTTGATATTTGCCACCATGATCTACTACGCAGAGCGGGTGGGAGCCCAGCCTAATGACCCTTCAGCGAGTGAGCACACACAGTTCAAAAATATCCCTATAGGCTTCTGGTGGGCTGTAGTCACCATGACCACCCTGGGATATGGGGATATGTGTCCACGGACTTGGTCAGGCATGCTGGTGGGAGCTCTGTGCGCGCTGGCAGGGGTGCTCACTATAGCCATGCCCGTGCCTGTGATAGTTAACAATTTTGGGATGTACTACTCCCTGGCCATGGCAAAGCAGAAACTGCCAAGGAAGCGGAAGAAGCACATCCCTCCTGCTCCTCAATCCAGCTCACCCACCTTCTGCAAGACAGACCTGAACATGGCCTGCAATAGCACCCAGGGGGACATCTGCCTGGGCAAGGACAACCAGCTGATGGAGCACAACAGATCATCAGGTAGGACCCCACTGGAAATGCATGTCCTCTGAAAACACTTTATAGACCAGTGTGTTTGGTAGGGGTCAGAAAGCAGCCAGTCTTTCTGCCAGGAGAAGACGTAGCTCCCACCCTTCTCCCCTCCAGTGTTTGCGTGTGTCAGTCTCATAGAAGACGAAATAGGTATAGCAATGTTCCCAAACCTCTATGTAGCTGGTCTATACAGTTTGCTTGCTCTGTT